GTTCTTGTACGTCAATGACACAGGAAACTGGGAGGACCAGTCATATTTCCTTGGTATTTTAACAAACCTTGATCGGATTTGAAGTTTATTAAAAAATCAATAATGTTAGCACATCAAAACAACAGAGCAGGAAATATTGTGGGGCTGCTTCCTGCAAGATTGTGTCCCAAATGTGAGACTCCTCTCGGGCTGAAAAGACAACACAAATGAGCTTCAATCATGTTCCTGCCTAACATTTCCAAATGCTGTTACTATTGATGCAACTGTGTTTGTACAGTTTTAGGATGTGTATAAAGCTGCTCTCTGATCCTGTTGGCCATAAAAAAAGCAGGTAAGCCGCTTTTTAACCCAGGTAGCAGGAAGAACATGAGTCAACAGCATGTCTTATCACCTTATTTTGGGTTTTGGTAATCACAGATGTAATGGCCTGAGAGGAAAGGACACACTTGTTAGCTTTGGTGGACTCTTAAACCTTTAAATCTGACTTTGGCTGCACAACACAGGAGCCAAAATGGCTGATGATGTTCACCAGAGAATAGCAAGTGCTTCCCCACCAACAATCAGCTGCAGATGCAGGAACGTTTCATTCGACTGCAGGTTCGATTTGAGTTGATATGCATCCAGACAACAGTAAAACTCCCTGTGATGAGGCCCACTTGTATATCAACTGAGGGGTTCAGTGCCAAAGCGGGCCACACCACAAAAAAAAAAACAAGTGAGTTCTCTGTTTTTTTTTGATAAGTGTTTATGGTCTACTAGTTCATGGCAAAAGTGGTCCAACCAACAGCCCACTACTTATGTCACAATGCGACTTTGAAGTTTGGCCCATAAAGGTTTTGGCATGAAAATGTAGTGGCAAACAAGCCACAGGAATTGCTGACCATTATATCCCAGGTGCAGGTAGTTGCACACGATTCAAGATGGCCGACAGCGCGACCTCAAGTCCCGTGAAAACTCAACTTGTAGGTAAAATGAAAACTTACTTAGCCACCACCAAGCATCTATTTCTACCCCATGATCCTCAAAAGTATCTCTAGTTCCTTATGATGTAAACTCTTCAATGTTATTTGGCAAGACAAACCTTGAATCAGTATTTTTCTCAAAAAGTAGAAAATGTGGTATGGTCCGCTTTAGCACTCAGCAAAAGGAAAGGCAAAACTCAAATAAGTCCTCACAAAGTAGTTGTTTCTATTTCTGGACAGTGTTGAAACATCTTTGGATGCATATCATGACTCCTCCAACAACCAGGATTTTTCTTTAGCAACACAACATTTTGACCCCATCTCTCTAAAACTAGTAAATGTGATTTGATCCACTTTGCCACTAACCCCCTCAACTGCTAAACATCATCCTTACTTGTTTGGCGACAGTCTGCTCTGGATTCATCACCAGCTCCCTTGACAAGATGACGGGCTGTCCACCTTCTCCGAGCTGGAGGCCGAGGAGAATCTAAACCTCTTCAGCTGGAGGATCAGAACACTGTTGACAGGAAAGATAAAGAGGAGGAAGAGGGTTACAGCTCCAAAACGATGGTGCAAATCAAATGAAAGACACCGCTTGTCTTGACACCCAACTGCTCTGTGCTGATTTTCGACCATCTGTGATGGGTGTGATATTGCTCACTTTGGCAAGGTCAAGAATGACAACTGCTCTGATGACTCCTCAGCTCCACTGAAGCTCCACTGAAGCTCCACCTGGCCTTCCTGCAGCAGGGAACAGGAGTAAGAAGAGTGTTTGGGTTTAAATCTTTATATCAGATACATATCCATATGCATATTTACGTAAAATCACACACCTGCACAGAAACTGAAGTCTTGACTAAAGATCAGTGTGGTACTATGATGTGTTTTCCATATAAAATCAACCAAAAATGAATCAATTTCCTACCTGACTCCTCAGAATCAGCTGATTTGATTTTTGTACAGTAACTTCAGTATATTTAATGACACCATGCAAAATTGTGCATTCATACTATGAATATTTTTACAGCTACAGACCCTTAAAGCAGATAGGGGTGAATGGACATACTGTGCTTTTTAACGTACATTACTTTTCCAGCATAGGAATTACACAAAGTAGATACCCACATACAGTTTTCAGGGCTGAAAGCACATTCAAACTCTGGAAAAAACTACAACCAAATCAACTCTAGGTCCCTTCCAAGTACTAAAATCTTTCTTTCTGTAACAAACTTTGAGTGTCAATATCATGGGATAGTTTTAATACCAAAAATGCACCCATTTCAGTAAACTGATGACACAAGCATTGGTACCCTGGAAGCGTTTTCTGCTTCCTAACAAGTCACTGGAGAAAATGTTGGGTAAACCCTCAGGGCCATGTGACCGTGTGGGAGAGAAGGTTGGTCAGAACAAGTCATAGCACATGAAAGGTCATGTTTTTACCTCCATTTCCACACCAGGCAAGTGTCAGACACCAAAAACTACACATCGTCATTGTTGTTCACAATCTGCAGCTGGAAACAAGCCGAGAGTACAGACAGAACAAAAACATGTCAGAACAGAATCTGAAAGACTCTCAAACAAGCGCTGAATGTTTCCAACTTGTCTGACCAACACCATTTGTCCAAAACATCCAGCTGTCCCAGCCATAAACTACATTCATAAGTGTTAAAATGTGATTACTAATCCCACGTGGTGATGATGAGCATAGTATAGAAATGTAGATAAACACTGACCAACAGTCTATCCTACAAGGTGATATGACTCTTGAAAGTTTACTCATTATGCCGGTTTTAAAGTTTTTTTTGAAGTGATTTATCAGAAAACAGCTTTTTAATAAAGCCCAAATGTGTTTTTCATCCTTGAAAAGTTCTTTTGGATATCTCCTGTATTTCTAAAGTGATGAGGGCTTAAAAACACTAGAAAAATAACCACAAATAATAAGCGTGACATTTGCCCACCCCCATGCACTTTGAAAGCCTGCAATTTCAAAAAATATTCAAAGTATGAAGGTAAAATGTTGCACGGCTTCAATAAATGTTATAAAGTTGTTGAACAAAAAAGACACACTCATGGTGGGAGCACCACATCCTGTTGATGTAGTCTGCCTGGAAACTGGTGCATCAGCCTCTACGGTAACTCAGTGTTTGGCTTTTCATGACTGCCGTTATTTCAGATGAGCAGTTTGATTCAGGATCCGTTGACTGGTGTTGACTGTGGCTTGGATTTTTTCTGAATAGACACAACAGAACAGTTAAATAAACAACAATAAATAAACAACATGGTGAATGTTTCTGCATGATGCATAATATTCATACTCCACATGTTACCGTAACAGTTATTCAGTGACAATACAAGCAGCATTCAGCTCTGCAGAACAAACTTGTAGCTACACAAAGGATGTGTGACGACAATCAAGGTGCCTTGGTGCCCCATTCTTCTTCTTTGTAGTGTCAGACACAGCAGTGACGTTAATATGAATCTTTTTTTTTTTTTTTTTACAAAGGTGCCAGCTCAATATAATGTCACCAGTGTGTTACCTGTGCTTTGAACACTCTAAATGCAGTATGCCATGCTTTTCTCCTGAGTACACCCAACACCACACAATATAGACAAACGCTGACACACCAGCAGTCACCAGCTGTGTACAATAATTGCCACCTATAATATTTCACACAGTAGTTATGAGGATCAGATGAGGAAGTGCCTATAGTAACATTCATATTCAGGAATACAAGTGACCATATATATAAGTAAGATAGGTCAGCTATCATGGATCCAAATGTAATGAGCTGGATTTACAGTTTTTTGACATTTGCTTTAAAATAAAAAAACTAATACAACTGATGGATTAATTGTTGCAGCTCTAGTGTGATCTTAGATGTCAGGAATGATCATGCTGTTAACTGAAAACATGTCTTTGGTCACAATCATTCAAGAAAAGTTTTAAATGCACAAACCTAACTGATGTTAAGTTATGTGTGTTTGCATTTTAGGACTATTTCATGCAGCTAGCAGCAGCAACAGATCCTTTGGCAGAGGATCACTTTTTGGCACAACTTCCAGCGACACTTCCACGGCAAAGCGATCAGGGTGCGCGTTCAGACATGCGCAAACCCGTTTAGTTGCCGTCAGAAGAACAGAAGAGAACGCATGTGTGAAACAAGGGAAACTTCACTTTTAATCAACATTGTTATTATTATTATGAGTAAATACCACATTCATTAAAGTAAATGGAAAGAACTGCCAAACTTAAGCTGTTTGTTTTTATTCTCCTTGAATCTCCTAAAAAATTCCAATAAGATTTGAAAAACATTTGCCTTGCTGCTGAAATGTTCTTTATCTTTACATACATTTTATTTTTTAATGCCTTAAAATTTGATGTTTGCACATAATTCTCAATGTTATACTCTGTTGTCGGTGCCTTGCCTTTTTTTGTTTTGGCTGAAATTTTAATAAAGTTCATTTTTAAAAAAAAGAAAAAAGAGTGCATTTCTGAAAGAGGTATTATATTCGTGTTTTCTTCTTCTTCTTCTTCTTCTTCTTCTATAGAATATATATATATCTTTTCTATATACCCCCCATTCAGAAGCCCATTTTTCATATTCTGTTTGCACTACTCTCCTTGTTTGCACTATTGCTTATATTTATATGTACATTTTTTATTTTTTATTTTTTTTTTCTGTCTCGTATATGTGTACCTCTGCTATCAACAATGTGAATTTCTCCACTGTGAGATAAATAAAGGCATATCTTATCTTGTCTTATCTTATCTTATCTTCTTCTTCTTCTTATTATTATTATTATATTGTTATTATTATTGCTGTTATTATTGTTATTAATAATAATAACAATACTAATGATTTGTTCTTATTCGTATTCTTGTTATTGGATGAGGGGAAAAACCCCCAAAACAAAACAAAACAAAAAACGAAGACGGAAGTATCGGGGAGTGGGTCCTCTCGCGACACCTCCACTGCGCTCCTCTCTGTTGGAGGCAGTACAAGCTTTGAGCACAGGGCGTATCCGAGCTTTGGGAATCAGGAAACACGTTAATGGACGTGAGAAGTCCCTCCTTTGCTTCAGTTTGACCAGTGTTGGTGGTGACCAGACGTTCGACGGCCGCTTGACACAAACACCATCCCCCGTCAGACCGCTGGCTCGCTGCGGTCCCGTCCATCCATGGCCAATTCAACTGGCGTTACACGTAAGTTTCCGAGTTTGTTTTTTTTCCTCCACTGGGAACGAAACCTTCTAGCACCGTTACAGCCGTTAATATTCTGCATTTTCAAACCTATGTCTACTTTTAGAAGAGTTTCCTATGTCCGAATATTAATACCAACACTTGTGGAAAAAAACTTGCTAAGCTAGCTTGTTGGTAAAGTTTTAGGAGGAAACTGGCCAGCAGTGACAGATGCACTCCAAGAGAGGAGTCAGCGAAGAAGAGAGGGAAAGCAAAGATAGAAACTAGCTGATAACTCACAGCCACTTTAAGATGTCAGTTTTTTTTTTAAAACATATAGTTCCTTAATTCTAAAGATATTTAATGAGCTACCTTCTCCTAGCAACACGACAACTCAGTTTAAGCGAGTGCTTTGAGTGTCAGTCTTCAGCATTTTCAACACTGTTTTTGTATTTCAGCAGGAGGAAAACCATCCTAGTTACACATTTACAAAGTGAAAGTGTTGCCTCAAGCTTCTACTGCACATATGGCATTGTGTTATTTGCCTAAATACCCCTTTCCGATGGTTTTAGAGGAAGGAATTCTCCAAGGAATCTGTGCTGTTGACTTTATTCCACCAGTGTAGGTGTCTCCCTCCATTAACAACTGCTATTTATCTATTTTTAAAACCTCAAACCCAAATTGAGAACTCTCACGATACGCTTCTTAAGCCTAAATGAACTAATTTGAAGCTTAAATAATTAGTCACTTAATTGCTAATTCTATTTTACTCATTTATCAATAAATAACCTGCCAAACATTCAGCATCTCATTTGAAAATCTTGTCGATCGCATGATGTTTAAGGAAATTCTGATTTGTTTTGGCAGTTTATGGCCTGAAGGGAAATCATCAGCAGATTAATAGGGAATGAAAATAATCATTAGTTGCAGCCTTGCACAAAATGTCATGCCTCGGAAGCTAGAAATAGGTTTAGTATGTAAATATGTGTAAAGTTTCATCTCGGAAAAGTTGTTTAGAACACAACAGTAAGCAGAACTGTTTGCGTAACAACTGGACTAACATTGAATATTCTTAGCAAACATGATGCCGATTATTTTTTCAGTTCACTATCCATAATTTGGTGTATATTTTAACATAATTATTATGATTTACAAGCGTAAATGTCTCATTGGAATCGCTTCAAAGCACGGTGAAACCAGGAGTCGAGCACTGGATTCCTCTGTATACAGGAATCTTTGCCCCAGTGTTCTCTTTAGTTCCAACCAATGCCCTTCATAACCTTTATAGCCGGGCCTGTTTCCATTTTCCACGAGTCCACAGGAGTCTTGTGGCTTCAAAAAAAGGCCGAAGCTGAATCCGCATGCTCATTCAATTAGACCCAGTCATGCAGTGCACTGGATTGGAAATAGGAAAGCAGTAATGTCATGTGAAGTCGTGTGTGTATACAGTGCGAGGATATGTCTCGGGATAGTGTCAGCTGTCTTCATGTAAGGCAGAGTGTCAACACACTCACGTTTAAGCAGCGCTGTGTGAGTCAGTGGTTCCCAACTTGGACGTTGAATTCCCTCGAGAGGTTCCGTAAATGTGAGGGGGTCACAAGATGATTAAATTTGGGTTTACTTTCACCTCTTCTTGGAGTAAAACTCTCATATCAGCACATGAAAACCTTTGCTGAGGGGTCACGAGCACATATTGCTTAAGTTTTAGGGGTCACAAACCGAAACGACTGGGGAACAGCTCATCCAGACGGGCTTGTCGAGATAGTCAGTTCTGTGAATTAATTTACACCTCCGACATGATGCAAGGTGAACATTTAGCACTGGGTTTATAATCACAATTAATATTCATGTATCAGAAAATGAAGGTGTGTGGGAGTTTGGTTTGGTACGTTTTCCTATTTCTTTTCTTGCTCATAGACTAAAAAGATGCTCTGGAGCTGCAGCCATGCCCAAAACCAAGCACATCTTTTTTTTAAAAAGTTAGTAACATTAGAAGATCCTCTGCTGCTGCATCTTCTTGGCAATGAGGATGGCTTTTATTGTATCAAATGCAACTGTCCAGTGTGGGAGAAATCCTAAGCCACAGACGGACCGAGCCTTTTATCTCATTAGTATTCGGTGCTGAGCTGAAAGCCACAAATTGTCTTCCTAGTGTAAGCAGATATATTTTTTGCTGAGTATATCTCAACAACTACAAAAAAAACCTCATGATTGACAGGTACGTAGTAAATTTTTACAACTACTCTGTGATCGCTAATGAGCTCATGCTACATGTCTTGGGGCTATTGTGACAAGGAAACGCAGATGTAAGATGCGTCCCTGTGGCCTCATATTCTGCATCTCGTAAGGTAAACAGTCTGCTCTTTGAACACAGATTCCCAGAGACGCTCTTGTGCCACATGTGTAATGCGAGAATAGACATTGGGAAGGGGAGGATATTCACCGGCCAAACGGTGGTCAGCGAGCAAACGTCAGGCAGCTTCCATTTCCATGCTTCCTAGCACCATTGAGTAGAGGACAGTAATGGAGTTACATCTAGTTAAGGATCAGATTACTGACTGAATGTAGCCGAGAGTTTGAAGTCTTGCAGCCAACTCTGCCGTCGCACAAGTTGGGAATTATTTAAAATGAAATGGTAAATATCAGTTTTTTTAAGCTTGTGAAAGAGCCCAACCTGCTGCCTCGAGACACTCTTTCCGGTGCCGTGAGGGTTTCTGCTGATATCAGCGAGGATGAACGGAAAACATCCTCTTTTCTGAGATCAGAGCTCAAGACCAACTTGTTCACATTGTTGGCACTAGTGCGCCTAAATATTTCGTTCGGTGCCTAAAATGTTTCTTAACGGGTGGGTTTCTGGATTGTGTTTGCTCTTGAAGGGATCTCGGTTTGTTGTGACTGTAATAAATGAATGAAAAAACACTCCCACTAGAGGATGGTACAAAAGAGCTTAGGATGGGTAAAGGGTGTGGAGCTCGTAGCAGGGACTAGTGCTGCGTTTATTACTGTCTGGTCAACAGTGCATTCATTATTAACTCGGGGATACATGGTTATGTTTGGAAAAGATATCTACAACCGGCGTCTAGAAATAGATGAGACAATACTGTGTGGTGGCAGCATTAAACAATCAGAGCACTGACGCCAGCAAATGCAGTTACATTAACACCATTAGAGTACATTCACATAACCCTAAAGACTCGTTATGTAATTCACGGTTGTCTCGAATGAGGCAAGTACGAATGTCATTGATATGTGTAGTACTCGGAACTATCGTACACCAAAAATAGAACACCTGTGAGTCAACGCTCAGGGCATAGTAGTTGATCAGCGCTGACACTCACCAGAGAGACAGAGCTGCTAAACGACGAATGAAAATGATTAGTCGCACTTGATGGATTTTTGGTCGCACTGGCAGATGATTTCCATGGGCTTAGAAAAGCCCATGTGGTTTTTGTAAACACACATCGCCCCCCTTCCTCTTGAGTTTTCACAGAGATTGATTTTATATCATTTTGTGAAAGAGGCTGTCGAGGCACTTTCAGACAGATAGAACATCTCACTGGCTAAATCCTAAAAATAAACTGCAGGAAATGAAACTGGCTGAAGAGCAGCACTGTCCTGTTGAGCCTCCACTCGGCTTCAAACGATGGTTTAATTTAAGGGTTTGACACTGTGGACAGAAGTTCTTTTTTTTCTCAAATCAGAGCGGGGATTACCTCTTATCAGAGTAAAGGTTATTGACTGATTCGGGTGACTTGCTCATCTTTTAGAAGTCCTATGCTGCTTGGAAACAGCCAAAGTGTTCAGGTGAACTTGATATGTACCTGCTACAATCCTCAGTCTGGCTGACTTTTGAGGCCGGGGGGCAGTTTGACCCGGTCAGTGTTTATTTGACTCCCTCTCAAATCTTAAAATCCAGAGGATTTGTGTAACTGAGGCTGTGTGTTGTAATGAAATATTTTCTTTTTCCTTGAATAAATCTTCTTATAGTCTCAGGCCACACTCAAACTAAACACAAATGCTTTTCTTTCCCTGTTAATGTTTAATGGAGCTTTCCATCAAGTCCGGGTAATGTTAGAAATGTTGCACTGCTGCCAATAGTTGAGCCTGAATTGAGTACAGAATTAAAAAAAATTGAGAGTTACTGCTTTTATCTGTCTTGGTACATTACTGTAACTTCAGTATCTTTGGATCTGGACTTTTGATCCGTCAATATTTTCAGGACTTATACTGATACACAACCAATATTTAACACCGACACATATATTCAGTAAAAATTAAAATTGTGGTCTTCAAATTTAGACTCACTCAAGCTCAAAATTTCGAATAAACATATGTTCAAAGCTGGGATATGTGACTTTTCCCTATGTTGACAAAGTGGACATTTAATTTGTAGATGTCTCCTTTTACACCAGCTTTGTATTTACTGCACAGACATGTCAGTGTCACGCTTTCTAGCCAACTGTTGATAAGAAAATTATTTTTTAAAAATCCAAAATATCAAACTATTCCTTTAAATTTGGACACAACTCTGTCTCTTCACTTTCACACAGGAATCAAAAATCCAACAATCAAAGCAAATCCTCACACTACTGAATATTTCAGTTGTCTGTTGTAGGAAGTTGTCTAGTTTTTCGAGCTTCCTTGTTTTTTTAGGAGATAAAATAGAGGTTGTCGAGCGGGCGACCGACATGCAGCAACTAGTTTCCGCCCGGGATTTGAACCAGGCTGCCGCTGCTCAGTCCGTACAGTAAGAGAACTCTTTGAGAACTTTTTGTCTGATATTTCATCGCCTTAGCAAACAGTTGGTGTAATAGCTGACACACTAATCAGCAAGGATTCAGTTGCATCTTCTCATTCAACTGATTCATTTTTATACAAACTGGAATCAAATGCCATCCTGCTGTTCTCCCTCTTTTTAAATCCATACAGCATTACTGCATAAATCCACACCTGTGATGTGCTCGTGTCTCTAGTATCTCTAGTTTTTGGCTCTCTCTCTCTCATAGGACTTCCGCCATGACACCAGCTGTGGTTGCAGGAGATTTCTGGCTCAGCTCTAAATCCTCCTCAAAGACTCTATTCAGCCCCTTTTTCCAGTCTCTGTAGTCTTTTTTTTTTAAATGCTTTTAATTCAATCCTGTTGTCAGTTGGAAGGGGCATGAAACCGTGCCAGGACAGCCGCCATGTCTCGATATAAGCACATGGCCGCACAACATTTGGTCGCAGGGCGGTCGGCGAGCGGACAATGATCGGTGTGTTCAGTCTGTTGCACCAGGGAGCTGGGACAATGGAGGAGCACAAACGTTTGTATGCATCAGGGGGCACATGGTTTGGTATTCAGATACGTGTCTGCACACGCATTGCTGTGGCATGAAGATTTGCTTAGAGGTCTTTTGTCTTACGCGACTGCCAAGGCTGGGTTGTTCTGTCCGTCTTTTTTCCCTCTTTTAAACTGACTTTCTCCGAGTCGTGCACGCATTGATGTGAGAAGGACATCGCACAAAAGCCCTTCTGTGCGGTGTGCTGGAATGCCTCACGTGGCGCTTTAACAGCAGGGAGCGCTCGCCTATAGCGGCCCTTTGACCTGAACGAGACATTATAATGTAATATGAGAACATTTAGTTACTGTATTATGTAGTAAAATCCCACAAATTTCTATTATCTGTATATGTAAAGCTGCAATGCATGAAAAGAAAAGAAATTCGATCATCAATTCATTGTTTTAGCCGTTACTCACAGCACTTGTTCTTGTTAGAGTTTCTCAAATGTGAGGATTTGATGATTTCCTTATATGACACTGATGATATATTTTGGGGTTTTGGATCGGTCTGCGATTACTTTGGCGGACAAAATAAGATATACGAAGATGTTGCTTTGCTCTTCTTTACGAGTCGTAGACTAAACAAAACTGAAAGTGCTTTTCCATCCAGAACTAGTGGCACCAGTTGTTTATTTCAATGAACCAACTCTTTATCTTACAGTAGTGGGGGATCAGGCCAGCTAAATGGAAACCAGAATGATTAAAGACAACATCAGAGCAGATTAATTAATAATAGAAATAACTGATTTACAAGCAGAGCTGCAATGAATAATCCATTAGTTGTCAACAAAACAGAAAAACTGATGATTTCAGCCTCTTAAATTTGAATATTTAAGGTTTTCCAGGTTTTTCTTCAGTGACAACAAACGAAACATCTACGGGTTGTCGTCAAAACAAAAATTTTAGGACGTCATTCACTGTTTCCTGACATTTTATAGACTAAAAAAAAGATGAATGATTGATAAAATGATAAACATCTAAAGGCTATCTATGCCTTAAGTTGTTTGAAGTTGAAAGTCCAGTACGTGGAGTTCAGGAGCTGCACAATTTCTAAGAATCTTGCGGCACCGACACGTTGGACTTTAGACCCCTGGGTGGGCAGACGGAAGTGGGAACATGGGATGCTTGAGCTGGAGTAGTAAAACTTTATGATTATTGTCTTATTTTTCTGCAGTGAGTGGCATAAAAAAACCAAAAGATGGAGCCCATCCTGCTACAATCAAACAGGGCGTGTTTGCTGACTCAAATGCATGTTTGCAGTGAGAGGGAAAGAACTGATTGGCTTATAGGTTTACTAGACACCTGTGGGGTTGTTTCAGCAGCCTCATTTTTTAAATTTTTGCTTTATTGCTGCCTCTTACAACAATTGCATCCCCCGAACTGTAAAAAAACAAACAGGGGCACGACGTGCATCAGATTGAGCAGCTAAAGGCCAGAGCGAGCAGCAGACTCGACCGATCCAGGGAAAGGAACATGAAAGCTCCGTCGCGCTGCAGCTGATAGCGTTTAAATCCCCTCAGCTGCTCAACTCTGGTCTCATGCTCACACTCGCTGTGGATATCAAGTTGCCATCAAGGTCGCTGCACTGACAAATCCACTGTTGTGCAGCAGTAATTGAATTAAAGTTGTTTTTGTCTTCATGTGTGCTCCCCTCTGTCCCCCTCATCCTCCAGTGGGTCAGACGACAGTGAGCGGAAAAGGTGACGGTGCAGCAAGCGGCCCCAGCCCAGACTATACCGCCTTTGTACTGGTGCCGGTCTTCTTTCTTCTGGGCCTGCTGGGGGTGGTGATCTGCCACGTGTTGAAGAGGAAGGGCTACCGATGCACCACCGCCCAGGACGACGAGGAGGAGTGCGTGGAAGAAGAAGAAGACAAGGATCTCGAGCTGGGAGGAGGTATGGAGAAGGAGGCAAATACTCAGAGGTTGTAAAACTACAATGCAATGTGGCAGGCTCCCCCAAAAAAATGTGTCACTGTCTGGCAACAAAGTGTGTGACAACAGTATCAGTCGATTTATCGGCTTATTGCATCTGTGTGCCTAAGTCATCCATCATCTGGATACAGCACACACCCAGCTTTATTGCTCAGGCAGGCTCGTATTAATCCAAGTGGGCGTGAGGGAGGAGAGGGAAAACTGTCAGACAGAAAGGAAGCTCTAATTTTGTAGAAGTCAGAATGTTACTCTATAGATCAGTGGAGATCATGTACCTTCATAAAAATGAAAAAAATGAATGGATAGATGAGTACTACAAACTGCAACCCATTAAATAAATAAAGCTTTACTTATGGAGCAGTGAGGGTGCCAAATTACAAAAATAAATCAATAAAAGAATTTTAAAAAAATAAAAGTGGAAATAAAAAGAAGAATAAATATAAGAAATTTTTTAAATTTATTTTTAAAAAATTAAAATCATTTTTATTTATTTTTTAAATTATTTTTTAAAGTCACTTTTTAAATTATTTTTTCTTTTTTTCTTTTTTTTGTGCTTTTAAAGGGACATTTAATTTACATCACCTTTTTCTTTTTTTTTTCTGCCTATCACTCCTCCATATTTACTACTGGAATTTTTATTAGCAAGTCATGTTAATTTAAAGTGAGGTTTAACTTTAAAGTTCAGATTTCAGTCCTGGTTGATGTGGTGACTCCAGCGGTTGTTCTTTCTTGTTTACTACTCATTGTAATATTGTCAAAAAGAGTTATTGTGGTTTGTGCTAACCACTGCAACAAATATCCTGTGGCTTCTTCACAATAAAAGCCACGTCATGTTTTGACATGACAACACTTTAGTTGTGTATTTGCAGCAGGAGTAGTGGCGTAAACGAGAAACAGTGAGACTGATGTTCAAACCCCAGATAGCCACTACTTTGAAGTGACCTTCCTAATATTGTGTACAACTCCCTCACTTTCAGGGAAACAGTACAACAAAATGATCAGTGTCATTCACTTTACCTGTCAGTGGTTTTAATGATGTGGCTGGTTGTATTATTTTGTGTGAACCGCATGTATGTAAATGGCTACTTCACAAACATATCCTCTATAAATGTATTTTATAGAGGATCTTTAAGAAGAGATCTTTAAAAACACCCTTTCTGCCATATATACAGCATCACAAGCTTTCCCACTGTCTCCCTCTTTGCTCCGCTGCAGCACGTGAATCGAAAAATTCCAATCTAGTTGAAGATTAACCGATGTCCAGTCCTGCCTTGTGATGCTGTTGCATTTCAGTCACTGAGAAAGAAAGCACATAAGAGGTGACTTTTATAGGAATGTTTGAATGACTTATTAGAATTTTTTTGCATTAGTTTCCTAATTGGTCCGTGAGGTTTTTCATTTTCTTGTCATGTAGCTGCGAGGTCAGTAATCATGCAATAAAATCACTAGATGCTCTCACCTGCCCTCTAGTACTTGCAGACTTGTTCTACATTCCTGAATCTAATGAGTTCCAGGTAGTGTACGCGCAGACGATGATAAGAATAGACTGATGTGATGTTAATGGCACCTAAGACTTGCCATCCGTGTTTCTCAGTGTCTCTATATGACATAAGCGGGCTTAAAACAAATGTTAAACCTTCACGAGGCAGGTCTTATTTAAAGAATGGTTCCAAGTTTTTTTTTATTGTTTGCACTCAATCCCCAGAAAACCCCTCTGTTATTTTTTTAAGGTGTGGAGACCAATAGAAACCAGGAAGACATTTGGCAAACACTCATCGCTCATGCCCTGACTTAACTAGGGGTGTGTTCAGTGACGTGAAACAAACAAAAAAAAAAAAACATCTCCGCACAAGGCCGGTTTAACTTTACTTGTTATGTAATTATAGCTGCAGATTCAATGAATTTGCGTGGTTGAGAGTTTTCTGGCTTCTCGGAGAACGTAGTAACTTCACTGTACTACGAAATATGACCTAGTTTCCCCCCTCCCTGTTGTGCCACATTTAAAATAGGACAAGTGTGGGCTCTTCGCTCTCCTTCGAGTAATTATTGTGTGCAGATGCGAATCCGCTGGCATCGCTGGTTGGCCCCCGAGGTACGTCACAGACATGAGAAATGTTATGGAAAGAATGAAGTGTTTACACTACGCTGCTGAGAGCGGTGAGAATTTATGCTTTCTGACTCTCTCACTTATCATACAATGGACAGTTTTCCTTCTGTCTCGTCTCCACGTCTCTCACGTTGACCCATGCTCTGACTCCCTCCGGTGAATCACGGCTTGTTATTACTTCATTGGATATTGGAACCGGATATTTCGTAAAGCTGGTTTCTCTCATTGAGTAAAGCTCAATGGCAGCAGCGTAATAGTCACAAGTCCATTAGGGTTTTTCCCGGCCATCTTTATCTTTCTGTTTGTATTGTCTTTCCTCAGACAGCCCTACCCTTTCTTTGTAATGCGTCGAAACAAAAACAAAACATTGCTTTTGTGTATTGTGACGTCCCACATTCGGTAGATCCAGTCTTCTCTTGTTTCACAATGATCAGGTTTCCTCTGTGATTTTCTTCTTCCTGCTTTAGTTTGTTACATCTGTTACACAGTTTAAGCAGCACACTGTGTATATATGATGATCCTTAGCTATCCTATGATTTATCACGTTTATCAGAAGTGAGGAAATACTGAGGAAGCAATCAGCAGGAAACTCCAGGAAGTGCCGCACAGGGGTGTGTGCTGAGTGGAAGTTGGTCAAGAGTGGTGAAAGACTGCAGTCAGTGATTGCGCATTTCAATGCATTGTGCACATAGGCTGATCGCATGATGATTCATAACAATAATGTCACATTTTGATGTGAGAATTGATAGCGATGTTTACACCAGATATATGCTTAGCAGTCAGTACCTGTGTGTGTATAGATCACACAGGTGCTTATTGTTCATGACGCTTAGAATAAACTCATGTTGGATGCACAAATAATAGTTTCAAGTCACCAAAGGATTGAAGTGCTGGATTATTTGGAATGTGTTGTTCTAAGTGGCAACCCCACTTGAAAGCTATCGCCCAGTTTTGCTTTTACCTTCAGCTGTTTTTAGCTGCAGCCCTTTATTGCACATGACTTTACTGTTTGGATTTGCTGTCACAGCTCCCGGTAGGACAGTTTCCAGTTGTAGCAACCAGCTGTGTCTCCCAAAACAGCAGGTAGACAAACAAAACTGATCATTTGATGACCCTAGCAATGCAAAAAAAAGCAGCGAAAGAGTCCCATCAGGAGTTTGGGAACCCAAACAGAACCTTCAGGCAGTGTGAATATCAGGCTGATGTTCACCAAGAACTATGTTGTGTTGTGTACATAGCTTGTTGTGCTGCCTCCAAGTGTCAAAAATCCCATTACTACAGATGTTGGACCAAAAAAAACAATAATTTTATGAAGACGATAACAGCCAAACACGATGCTTTGTGAGTTTATGCAAGTGTTTCCAATATACAATCTTGTTTTCATTCCTGCTCCACTTAAACAGTCAAACCTAAGGGTGTAATGCCATTACTCAGTGCTCTTAAGTTATGATTAATTGGGAGACTGGGCCTGTAAGCCGTGCCGAAAGAGTGTTTTCCTCTCAAAACACATTTGCACTTGAGCGTAGTCGGCATTAGCAGCAGTTTGCTCCTGTTTTGCTGTGTTTGGTTTGTCACTTTTAATAAATGCCTGACCCTGCTGTGTGTTAAACTATAGCCTGCACTGTATGGTTGTGACTGTCTTTAAACGTGTCTGATTTTCTTTATTTGCCGAGCCTCTAAAGCTGCTCTGGGACAATGTGATTTTGAATAACATTCTCATGTGTGTTTCTTCTTATTCTTCCAGAGCTGAACGACACCGTCAGCGACAACAATGACACAGTTGGACAGATTGTCAGATACATCATGAAGAATGAAGGTTTGTGTTGACATTTTGTTTTCAATTAAACACTTTGCACAGCTGAAATACCTATAACTGTTTAGAGCCCTTGTGACACTATTTTCACCATTCTTAAAAACAACAATCAGTTGATTAATGGAGAGAATAATCAGCAGAATAATCCAGGATGATAATAGTCACGAGTTGCAGTTAATGGTTCAAAATGAGCTTCACTGCAAACAACAGCAAAATCCTAACACAGGAGTAATAATAACAAAGGATACATAATAATATAACATCTGCTTTAAGTACTTTAAGTTTTAATGCTTCTAAGTACAGTTAGTGAGGACTTTACAGTGTGGTTCATCCCAACATTTTCCACTCGCTGCTATGTAATGCCAGACGTTTCTTAACACGTGACTTTAAGGGGGTTGAAGTCATCGACCCTTGTTCGCCCTCCTCCCCCAGATGTCGTTACAACATTATTGTTCGCAGATAAATTATCACACGCTATTCAGGAAGGAAGTCAGTGCTGGATTCGGAATTGTGTTGTGTTGTGTGCTGTGTGTGTGTGCAGCTCTTCTCAGAAATGAGGGATTCGGTGGAAGTTCATCTGCAGGACAACTGCAGTGGAATGTAAGGAGACGATTTGTGAGGACTGGTTTGGTTACATCAGTGTTTCCCACTGAAATGAAATGGAACATGGATGTTTTTGCTGGAATTTGATCGTCTTATTCATTAAATTGAATAGCTGCATTACTAACAAATAGTTTCTGTGTTAAATTCGTAGGAAATCACAGCCCTCTGATTGTACCGTGTAATTGTTTTTCCTTGTTCGGTTGTTTTCATAGGCAGCCACAGCAGAGATAAGGATCAATGCTGGCATTGTTTCACTTTCAATCAACTTGTTTCATATAATAAATGCGCCAGATGTCTTTTCTGATTGCGGGGATTATATTCGCTAGTATTGATAAACCTTCCACGGTATTGCAGTGATTTTAGAACTGGTTCAACAACTGTGTGGGACTTTGCTCTAAAGGTAGGAGACGTGTTTGTGAAATAGAAGATCTCCTGCTTCAATTGAATAATGTTAGTGTGCTTTATTTAGAAGTTGCTAAGAAAAGGATGGTGTTTTTCTGCCACTTTGATATTATGGAGGTTCTCTCTTGAGGTCATTTCAGCTCCAAAGGTAGAAGAAACACTCAGATCCTGTACTTAAGTCAAGGTACTGTTGAAATACTTTGCTTTAAGGAAAAGTAATGCATTTTCTACTCATGTAGAAATACAAAAGTGCATCAAAATAAACCCAAAGTACCAAAAATAGAAGTGCTCATTTTGCAGAGTGGCGTATTTTGGAGTAATGTCCATTGTAATTATTGATGCATTCGTGTGTTCGTCATTTTAAAGTTGTGAATTTCCCCTTGAGATCAATGGACTTTAATCTTAATCTATGATGCTACATCGTAAGCTGATTGTATATTCAATTTCTATTATTAACTAAATCCACAAAGTAACTGTTAAAGTTCTCAAATAAGTGTTGTGGGTAAAAACTGCAGTATTTGCTTCTGCTTGCAAAATAGCAGAAAATGGAAAAATTCAATTAACTCAAAATTGTGTTTACGATATTTATGTAAATGTACTTTTCCTGATGGGAGATGTCCATAGCAGCTGGTTAACTTTATTTTCTATGTACAGTCAAGGCCAAAATTATTCATGCAAATTTTGACTTAGTTGCTTTTATTCAGCAAGTCTTTTTTAAAAATTGGAAATGACACAGACTTCTCGAAAAAGATAAGAGGCATCAGTGTGGAAAAAAGGATTTCTCAGCTTTTATTTACATTTGAACAAAAATTATTGAAGTGCAAATTATTCATACCCTTCCTCAATAAACAATAGAAAAGCCTTTATTGGCTATTGTAGCAATCAAACACTTCCTATAATTGCTGACCAGCTTTTTGCATGTCTCCACTGGTATTTTGGCCAGTGATGAGCTTCATCTTTTGTGATGAACTCCATCTTTTAGGTTGGAGGGTCTCCTTGCCATCACCCTGATCTTTAGCTCCCTCCATAGATTATCAATTGGTGTCAAGTCAGGACTCTGGCTGAATCGCTCCAAAACTTGAATGTTTTTGTCCACTAGCCATTTCTTCACCACTTCTGTTGTGTGTTTTGGGTCGTTGTCGTGCTGAAATGTCCAGTGGTGCCCGAGGCCCAGTTTCTCTGCAGACTGCCTCGTGTTGTTGTTGAGAATCTTGATGTGTTCCTTTTTTTTTTAGCATGTTGTTGTTTACTGTGATTAGTTTTCCTGTTTCATTGGCTGAAAAACACCCCCAAAGCATTCGGTTCCCTCCACCATGTTTGACAGTGGGGATGGTGTTCTTAGGGTTGAAGGCCTATCCTTTTTTAACGTCGAATTAATTCATTGTTTGTGTCATCTGATCATAAAACAGAAGACCAGAAGTCTTCTTCTTTGTCCAGATGAGCAAAGGCCAAGCGGGCTTTTGAGTGCCTTACCTGGAGAAGCGGCGTCCTCCTTGGTCTGCGTCCGTGGAACCCAGCAGTGTGAGGTGTCTGTTGGTCTGTCAGCCTTGAGACTTTGCCACCAGCAGGGCCCAGATTCCCTCGCCTTGGTGGCGATCCTTGGATTCTTTTTCACCTCTCTCACTATCCTCCTGGCCAGCACAGGTGTCACTTTTGGCTTCTGACCACGTCCTCTGAGATTTTCCACAGTATGGAACGTCTTGTATATTTTACTAATGCTTTGCACTGTAGCCACTGGAACTTGAGAACATTTAGATATGGCCTTACAGCCTTTTCCTGACCTGTAAGCAGCCACTGGTCCTCAGTGAGCTCCTTGGTCTTCGCCATGACTGTCCACAAACCAACTGCTGCTGTTTTTCACCTGTTGAGTTGATTAAAACAGCTGTTCCCAGGGAATCAGGGTAATTACGATGCTTTCGAACAGCCTGGACTATTTGGAATGGAAGAGAACCTTGAAATGTTCCCATAGACTGTGACAGTTTACAGGGCTAGACTGTATATATCTTATCATCGTGCAAACAGAGCTGAGCATTTTATCAGTCACTTTTGTCTAGTTCCTGCATGTTCCTGCATTAGACGTTTGACGCACGACAGGCAAGGATTGTCAGATGTTGCAGAGGAGGAAAAAGGAATATATTATTAAAGTGTTTTGATTGTATTGCTTGATCTTACTCTGGGATATACAGTACATGTAGAGCAAAAATAGTCTTTTAAATAGTTAATCACAGCGTCATAGTGTGAGGAGGAAGGAGGCAGAAGGAAACAAGGAGGAAAAGAAAGAATGGAAGTACTGTAGACGAGTCATTTTTGCTGCATGCTGTGTCCATTTTTTAGAATACGAGCCTGAAAACGTCGCTCTGCATCTCAGCTTTTTAGCGGAACAAGGTTCGACAGTCGTGGCTCAGAGGTCTAGGTTCCAGGCTGTGTTGGTCAGAGTTTCCATGACTCACGAAAAGTTGAAGATGTATTTATAAGCAGTGTATAAACTGGTTTATAGCAGACCTATACAGAAGGGGAGGTGTTATCACATTCTGGAGAACTCTTCTTTATATGTGGGGCAAAACTCCAAAAACCACAAAAAATTTTTTTTAAAAATCAGTATTTACTATTTTATTTGCTCAATTTACACGTAAAGTTCTTAATCGCGATCTGCATTCTTACGATTTACCTCACATAAAATAGTATTGATACCTAGTGAGTATTCCTAATTACAAGAGCTGAAGCATATACTTTCATTCAACTTTGATATTCCGTCTCATCTGTCAGTATTGACTCCTAAAGCTTAAATCAGCGATGCCCTTTAATCCGCACAGACATCTAAGATGCGACGGCAGTATTGTCCTGTCTGGGCGACTGGTCATCATTGTTCTGAGCCGTAAGCTGATTTTTTTCTGTCGTCTCTTAAGGGGCGAGCTCGGATCTGATTCATCGCCGCTTTGCTAGTGACTCATCCTCACAATGTCAGTGTGCTGACATGTCTTGTTTCAGGTTTTCTGTTATGGAAATATTCGTATTTTCCCCGTATTCTGAGATGATGCCAGGTTTTCATTTTAAAAAATACAGTACACGCCTGTTTTATTGCCCCTTAAATGCTGGATTCTTAACCCACAGCTGATTAAAACATGAACATTGGTGATGGTTAGAGACACAGGTGTTCTGTTTCATGAAAATAATAATCCTTTTTAGTGCAAAATAGTTAACTGGAACACAGGAAGTGATTGTTGCCATTTGATGTTTTTACCAGTATCAGCAATATGTGTAAGAAGTGGGTCCTTGGCATGGAGCATGTAGTGGTCTCTATGATAATACATAGGAAACACTGCCCTCTACTGATAACCCAATAATAAAGACATCAACTGTTCATTTCTGTTAGACTTAACCAGATTCTGCCTGCATGATTAAATGTTAAAAATATTTGCAGACATGTGAAGTCCTCCACTTTCTCTGCTTTTGAGTTGTGGTATCAAAGAAAATCATTTTAAAAAGTAACAAAAAATTCTCAGAAAAAAATCTTCTCTCTTTATTCTCGCATTTAGCAAATAGAAATAATTTAGGTAATCCCAACTAACATAAAACCGGAAAAGTTTAGTCTGATTTAATGTCAGACGATGAGAAAAAAAACGTTATATGTCTTTTTATACAGTGTATGGATACTTCTGATATTAAATGTATACCAGAGTTGCAAGAAACATTTGATTAGTTATCAAGTCATACATTAATCATCAACTATTTTGATAACCTATTAATTGGTTTCAGTCATTCTGTTAGAGAAAAAGAGTGGCTGAAGCTAGAGGATGTCGTTTTGGCCCTTCGAAAACACATTTTTCTCTATTTCTAGACATTTTATAGGTTTATTAAGAAAATACACAACAACTGCAACAATTCTGAGTTGTTGTGCCTTTTGACCACATCAAGGAAACATAAAATCTAAAGTTTTAATTTAAAATATTTGTCTTTTATCTGCAGTGTTTTGCAAGTGGCCAAGTGTCTGCACGATCTAGAGAAATAAGAAAATAGGTCCAGAAATGTGCAGGACATGACAAGTAGCGGCTCTTTTACAATAGATTTTAAGGCAACCTTTTAAGGCCTTTAAAATGTGTTTTTATCATTTTCTCTAGCACAAATATTTATGACTAAACAAGCAACGTGACAAACCAGGAGGCATGGCAATGACGAACAAACAAGACGCACGCAGCCAGACCTTCTGGCTAATTGTTTTATTAATAAGACATATGAGAACTTGAGCTAACGACGGCAGGTGCAGTCAGGGAGTTCAGCAGCGGAGGTGAGTGCATGTCTGTGAAAGTGGTGAGCGAGTGCACAAAACAGAAAGCAACTGTCAGCCTGAAACGCCAAATGGAAAGAACACGAGCGACTGAGCTCCGAGAGGATGTTTAGAAAGACGCACCGACACAGGGCTGAAGTGAACCTGCATGGAAAGCAGACGTACAAACCAAATAACGGACAGACAGGGCGGAGAGAGGCATCAAAGCAGCAATAAAAAGTCTGAAAGGTCTTATTTATTAGATGTGGTTGGTCAGACTTAACTGATATTTGACTAAGAACATCGGCAACCGAGCATTACTTTTCGATTCAAATGCTGTTAAGTTCTGGTTGGTGCACAGTTTCATGCATCTTGTCCTTTTCCCAACTGTATTGTTTTAGGTGAGTTAGAGAAGCATAATAACTCATAAATGCAAAATTTGTCATGCAAAATAATCGAACTCTTTGGAAGATATGTCCATTCCATCCATTATCTATACACCGCTTAATCCTCACTAGGGTCGCGGGGGGCTGGAGTCTATCCCAGCTGACTGGTCACCAGTCTATCACAGGGTTACACTTAGAGACAGACAACCAAGCACACTCACATTCACACCTACGGACAATTTAGAATCTCCAATTAACCTCAACATGATTTTGGACTGCTGGAGCCGGAGAACCTGGAGAGAACCCAGCCGGGAGAACGTGCAAACTCCACGAAAGAACTCCACTCCAAGAAAGATCCCATGTGTCCTCACCGGGACGCAAACCGGCGATCTTCTTGCTGCGAGGCAACGGTGCTAACCACCGAGCCATCTTGCAGCGCCTTGGAAGATATGTGTCTGTAGTAAATTGCTAATTGAGAAAATGTGTTTTCTGGCGATAAACAAACCTGAAAACCTTTCTAAATTGTTCTTTTGGCTCATAGTTTTGCTTTTTTCCAGTTAACCCTGTATAGGGCACACCTTGAAATACTTGGAAAATGAAAATTTCAACCCTAGGCTGTTACTGAAAGATATTTCAAGATATTTCTTTTGTGACTTTAAAAATAAATAAATAAATGTTGCAAATCAAGATTAATAAAGTTACCACATATGGTAACTTGCCTGTCTATGGTTAAAAAAAATTGAAGTCATAATAAATAAAAGAAAAAGTAACAAACTGCAAAAACATTTATTTAGAAACATTTTAGTTTGAAGTAATAATACAAACACAACCAGTCACCAAGTATTTATAAAGTGCTTGGCAAGTTCATTTAGTAACATTTTTCTTGGGGTAGTGGGATTGGCGGAGTTGGTGGAGCTCAATGCAAACCAGTAACAAAGCATTTATAAAGTGCCTGAAACATTTGTTTAGTGGCATTTTTCAGAAGGTAGTGATATCGGCACTAATATAAAAACTAAATCAAAGTGCACATGGTTCTTCAACCTCAAGGACAGGCATAAGGTGGACACAGTGAACGTCCAAGGAAGTTACCAAGTATGGTCACTTGCCCCAGGAAGGGTGGGTAAGGGTTCAAATATAATAACTAAAGCAACAGGATGTTCTTGAGGATGATATGGGGTGATAAGGAGGACAGCGGTTTGAGTCAGACGTCTTTGCATTTTTATGTGAAATCATTAGACTCCTACATTCACCTACATGAATCATCTCTAAACAGCTCCGGATTACCAGACGTATGCACAAATTGCTCAGTGTGCTCACAGTGAAGCCAGTGAATGCATCAGGGGGCTCGGCCTTAAAGAAATGTGTGTCAAATTATTTAAATCTATATGTGAGCTTTTGGCTCCGAGTGTTGATGCAACTTTGCGAAGCAGAAGTTGCTCGTTATTGTTCGTGTGCAGTGTGAGAAACTTTTATCTCTCAGGGACAAATCCCCTAATCACTTATGCAGTCTGGAGCCAGTTTGCTTCAACAAAAGTTTTTTTTCTTATGGCCTGGCACATTCCCCTGAGGTTGCGATATAGAGTTATTATGTGTTCAGTGACTGCATGTGATGTGCTGTTTAATTGTGTTAAAGTGTTAATCTGTTGTAGCCATCTTTCAATAAGCGCTCTGCTTTTGAAGTCACTGGAGCGTTCCCCTCACTAATTCCCAACGCTAGACTTCTATCTCCCTCTCTCGCTTCCTTTCTTCGGCTTGTATGAGAGTTTAACTTTTCTTTTTCTCTCTCTCTCCCTCTCCAGCAAACTCAGACGCCCTCAAAGCCATGATTCATGAAAACAGCATTGACTCAGACGGGTGAGTGGTCTTTTATTTTGCTGCGAACAACAAACTTAAATGTTATTGGAAAGGCTTTTTGTGTTTGTGTGGTTGATTTTAAATTCAGAGCAGAGGCCTCTTGTACTAACTGTGTCATCCACAAGGTGGCACCATAAGCCTCCTCTAAAGCCTGTGTGTGCCACTAGTGACTGAACTGAAACCAGTCAGAGCGGGACAACCGTCAATAAGGCCACAATCTGATACTTTTCCAGATGGGCAGGGTTTGATTGACGCCATGTGCGCGCCATGCTAACGTATTGTGTGATAATTGATCACAGTTATTTCCTTTTTATATTTTCAAACAGAATACATTGCGTGTGACCATGACTTCACATTGAAGGGGAAAAAATGGTTTTAGAGGCTTTACAACTACAATAGCCTCCAATAATGCTGAAATAATGAGCTGATTAACCAATTACTTTATCGCCAGAAGATTAATCTGCAGCTGTTTATATGCTTGATTAATCATTCAAGTTTTTATATCTCAAAAACACCAAGTATTTGTTTCTCAGATGTCACGTTTTTCTTTGTTCACTGCAAGTTTTGGACTTCTGTTAAGACCAATGGAAGCTCCTTATTGATTATTTTCTGGCAATTTATAGGATAAAAGATTAATTTATTGATCAAAAGAACTAATCGAAGAAATTGTAAAAGTTACTGATGTTTGCTAAATCCCTACCCTCAGTGGTGTTTGTCGAGTCACAACTGGACAGGAAACCTGCAAAGCTGTGGATTTAGGGTGGAGTTGTAGTAACAGTTGTACTTTAAGCCTTTACAAAGCATAGAGTGTGTAATCTGTTAACAAACATAAACTACAGTCATGTTGATTAGTTTGCTAACTCCAATAGTAACTAAGTTGTACATTCAAGGGAGCATTTGATGGGGGCTTGCAAATTATGATAAAATAAAAATTCTTTAGAATATTACTTTTATCAGACTTTAGGCCCACAAAATGACACTGACCTGCTTTTTATCGGATTCAGGGGCGTTTACCTGAAATACCTTTACGTGAGCGAAGCACATCAACTAGTCCACAACCTAAATGCCCTCTCCCTAATACCATTAGGAGACATGAAAAAGCACAATTTTTCAAATCCAGCAACTGAGCACATTTTTTACACACTTAATAAGTGTAAAAGTTTTAATCTTTAAACAACAGTTAGCTAGAAACATTCAAAAGTCGGCCTGCATGTGCAGGTAACTAGCTTGATTAGCTAAATAGCTATGGCTGACAACATTTGTTTGTATAGTTTAATTTTACGTCACAGAGTCGGGTCATAGACCATACGTATATAAAAGATGGACATGGCATCTGAGTCTGAAAAGAAAAGTCAAGGAGTTTCTTAAACCTGCATTCTTTCTAATGGCCAACAGGGGGCGACTCCTCTGGCTTGAAAAAAAAAGACAGATTGTATCGAGATAATGTTGCCTCAGTCAACCCCTTTCTAACGAGTTTGTGGACTATCAGTACTTTTAAGACCTTTTGAATACAGCATGGTGTTTATTTTAAAAATTCTGGTCACATTTCGTCTAAAATAGACGATATTGCAGGGTCTGTTTTAGGTCAGGGCTACTATGGACTCTTAGTAGTGACAGGTTGCTACGATATCAGCAAGTGAAATGTCCTTAAGTTCTTAGTCAGGTCCACCCTTCACTTGCTATGTTTGGTTTCAAAAGACCCGACGGCCAAACTCAAGGTTTCAAAACAACGTTCCATAAATCAGTGAATCATGTCAAGGAGACCATGTAGTCATTGAGTCAGATAGAAATCTATCAAAACTAGTGCTGACTGTTTGAAAAACAGAATTTTGACAATAAATCTGCAGCTGTCAAGAATGTAAACTCCAGTATACGACATGCATTTTTCTTTGCATTGTGTGAATGTGTGACAGTGGACCTGCCTGACATTAACTGGTGCACAGCTGTCAAAGCGATTTGACGTGACCTGATTGGCTAGCGCCTGCCCTGCTACTTGAAAAGTTGAACTTTTCCTCAACTTTTTAATATATGCAAAGCAAAGACATGATTCGGTTTGGCAGTGCTTGACATCGGCCCCTTCAAAGTGAATGAGAAGCGTGTAACAAGTATGTATGAGTCCTGTCTGTCTCAGACTGTCAGCTGTTTGCTGCAGCTTTAGTTTGACTCTGATCAGCATCGAATCTATAGGCCCTGGGTTTTTGGACTTCATTTGCATTTTGACATCAGTGTTTCAAATCAAAGGCTGCCTGCTTGTCACTTTAAAATGACCCTGCATCATAAAAACAGGAGCCGGTGGAACAAGCTGACTCAGTTTAGACGTCTTCATTCGTCATCCCACCATTCGTCTGCGCGGAGCAACGTGCGGAGAAAATGAGCAAGTGTAGTGCTGCTTTGCCTCTGAGATAAGGGGAGAGGGAGTCGGGCAGATAGACAGATCGGAGGACGAGATGCTTGTGGCCGTGGAGGAGTCTAAGCAAATCGAGTTAGAGGAGTATGTTTTCCTCCCTCTCTCCCTCTCTCTCTCCCTCTCTCTCTCCCTCTCTCTCTCTCCTGCTGTCATCTTTCTTTTCTCGCCACATATTGTTCTGGGAGGAAAGGAGATAAAGAGAGGAAAGATGTTCTCCTTTTGTTGGGAGGAAGCCGCGTGGACAAATGGTAGGAGCCTCTGCCAAGGATTAGGTATTGAGGTATTGTGCTCGGTCACATTGGGTGTCCTGGGGAGGAAAAAAAAAAAGATCAGTCGAAATCTGCAATCACACACATTTCCTGAGCATCACTTTCACACGTCTCTTCCCCCAAATCTCTTCCTCCACATATTTCCAAACCCTTGTTGTCCTTTCACATTTTTCATTTTCTTCAATTTTCTTTCTATAGTTCTCCTTCTTTCTCTTCCATACCTTTGTTTGTCTCGCTCTCTCTCAGTCAGGGTGGGCAGCCTGCCAGTGGATCACTTAGAGATGGTGGAATAGGGAGGGAAGAGGGGGAGGTAATTTATGGGATACTTAGGGGGGGGAGAGGGAGACAGACAGACAGGCAGAAAGAGAGGAGAGGAAGAAGGAGAAAGGGAAAGGAGGAGAGTGACTGTAGTGTGGCCAGGGCTCGCTATCAGCCTCTCCAGATTTGGTACTTAACTTCCTCCCTCCTCAGTGCTGCTCTCCCCATCGGTACTCCAGCCTCCACTATCCCTCAGTCCCCTCTCATCTTTCCACAGCAGGGCCTGTTTTCATCAGTTTATCTTCTCCACATCTTGTCTTTTGTTCCTTCTGTGGACTGAACTCATGTTTCACACCTCTGCTTATCAGGTACTGTATACCAGCACAAAACAAAAACATATTTTTTGTTGAAAGAAAACAAGGAATTTTGCCCAACAAATGCCTGTACGTGTTTTTACCACATGGTTCTGACCTTTACTGACCTACAACAAAGCCCCTCGTCATTGTGATCATTTTAAAAAGACAGTAGTCATAATATAAGTCCCCAGACAGGTACAAGAATATGTTCTAATTGAAAGAATTCCTGTCAAATGAAACCATGAATGTGTTAAAGTCATGGAAAGCTTGATAAAGAAGAGTAATGTTACAGCTTTGTGCTCTTGAAAGAGGGCATTGAAATCATGCTTTCTGTGCAAAAGATGGATGGAAATGCAACCAATGTTTGGCCTCTTTGATTGAAAAATGTCAAAATAAGTACAGACTTTGTATTATTGTTTGTTGATCCATTGAAAAGCTATACGGACAACAGCTGTAGACACACATGTAGTCGTGGATGTACAATAGGTGTTGGCGATATGGCAAAAATATCATATCACAATTTTTTTATTATAAAATCACAATTTCGATTTTATCGCGATCCAACATGTATTTTTGAGACTAAGTGCAGCCTGGACCACAGATCACTCGTTGCGAACAACTGGACATTCCGAACTCTGCGTTCAATCTTTTCTCAGCATTCAGAGTAGAGACGTGGAATGGCAGTGTTGGAGAAGTATTTTCGGCTGGGCAGCTCGTACCGCGGGTCAACTACTTTGTCAGGCATTTGAACCCCTAGTTTTCTACTGTCTTGAATGGAACCATACCTTTTGCAAGATAAAAGGCAACTGCTTCTGTTACCTCTTTCCACAGCTTGTTTGCTTGTCTTCTCATACGGAGTGTCTTTATTGAATGCCTGTGTTAATGTTGCCTGTTCATCAAACGATCCATATGATCTCCTCACTTTTGCAGATCATCTACACGTCCAAATCGTTCACGATCTAGTATCGTCTTATCGCGCACCCCTAATGTACAACAATATGACAATATTGGTATGCCATCGGTCCTAAGGGATTCTGACAGAAACAAGATTTTAATGCTACGACATTAGGGCAGAAAATAAATAATTGCTCTCTTTGCTGATTTTTATTTATTTTTTAACATAACATTAACATAATTTGAAACCTCATTTTCCAGAAGCTGCAACCAGAAAATGTTTTGGCTGTTTATTTTAGAAAAAGCTTTGCAATTTTTGCTGTAGATACAATTTTTAGACAATATAGCAAACACCTTACTGCCTTATATATGACGTCACTGATATGCCTGTGGAAGTCCTTATTAACCCTGTTCAGGACTTTTGGACCCCAGGCCATTTGGTTAAGGTTGCAGGAATTGCTGTTTTATTTTTGAAGATTTTATTTTATTTTTTTTTAATATAAAAAGAGGGACATTTGTCATACATTTGGCACCAAATATACGTCAACTTATCAGAAACTATATTTAACATAGTATAAAAGTCTATCATGAATACCAACAAATATTTTGCACATATTCCGAAAGACCTTCTGGCAACATGAAAGTCCTGAACAGGGTTAATATCACGCAGGGTTTATATACAAATGTCTACATACGTTTGGCCATGTAGTAGATGTAGGGATGTCCCAGTCGAGGTTTTTTTTTTTTGTTCCTGATCTGATCTGAATCATTTAATATTTAGTGTCTACAGATCTCTCCAGACACCGCTTTCCTGTAGTACATGTTTGTGCAGCCAGGTGGAGCCTTTTCACTGTTTAATGTGACCAGAGGATGCAGGCACTTCCATGTTACAAAGAGCATGGTGGGAGTTTAGCTACTTAGGGAGCACCATGACAAAGTCTTTTCTGAAGCTTAATGACTTTCTACCAACTCAGATAACAAATTGCAGCAGGTTTGATTAGGTTCTTGTGTCCTGTTTAGCTTCAGGTTCTTTTACATACATATATGATACTACCTCCAAACATACAACTTTCTGCCAATACCAATCAATTAATTGCCATAATTAGGCCCAACCCTAATCTCAGGGACATCCCTTCCACGTAGTGTCCCGTACCTTCCCAGCGTCTAACCCCAAGTGTCTATTCCTGTGATGCCGGCTAAAGAAAAACGTACTCAATATTATACTGCCTGTCCCTTGACGCGTTCAGACACATATATAGTGTGTTTATGTGAGCGCGTGGAAGCACTGTTTATTCTACCGTTGTGTGTAAACAATGTGAGGAGCCGCTCTCCAGGGTCATAAAATATGCAACACACACTTCCTCTCAAACAGAGTGCAAAAAGACAAGTAAGCTGGCCTCAATTAGCTCACTTCCGAGGTAAATACGATATGAAACGTGCTTTACTGCCATGTGTAAAGTCACTGTTGATGTGATGTTTGACGCCTCGCCTGATGCTCGCTCTGTACAGAAAATGTTTTACTTTTTAAAGATTATCAGTCGTAGTGATGAGGGATTGTCAGTAGTTGTAATTGCACAATTCAGTGAGCTTGTATTTTCTCAGGAAAACTGACCGAATGTAAGTCAGTGCTTACTTTTCCTTTCACTTAATGTCTAGATGTATCCCAGCGCTGTAACACTTGATGACCTATAAAAACATTTCTTGGTTTATTTCTGTCATTGTCACATAATTATAACTAAGGAGCAAATTTATATTAATTTGCTTGTGGTCTGCCAGCAATAATAGACCTCAAAAAGTCATATAAACATCATTAATTCATGCTAATCGAGTTGTTACTGAAGCGTAAGGATTAAAAACGCCCGTCTCAAATATATAAAAATCTAAAAAAAGATAATACTAATTTATTTTCTCTGTGTCTCCAGTCCTCCACTCACCCCCACCTCCCCCGGCACCCCAACCCCCCCGATGACTCCCGTATCACCGGGGGCACCTCCGGGAGCCGCCAAGCACACCTGCAACCACCTGCACACCATCGGGGGTCCTGGCGGCCAGAAGAACATCTGCACCCGCTGCAGCCAGAAGAAATGGCCGTTAATGAGGAAGCCATCGGCCCGGAAGGCAGAGAACCGGCGCAGTCACCACGGAGAGGTCACGGTGCTGGCTGTGGGCAGGTGGGCAGGTGTGTGTGTGTGAGCGAGTGTTTGAGTCATGAACGGAAAAAGGAGAGTTTATGTTTTGTGATCATTTCCCAACCGTTACAAATCTCTCTAAATGATACCAGGCGTAGTGCTTCAGCGTGAACTTTCACCAGAGGCATGTCGGGCACGCACAACGTTAACGATCAAACATTAACTCCAAATAATCGTGAATGAAAAATCCACACTTAATTACGCAGGCTAACTTTGCAATCCTCTCACCGGACTAGTGACCTGGAAATTACACAGGTGGACGATCAGGGCGAAGCTTCAGTGGTTAGCCCGCTTTATGGCAAGGACCCCTGTTAAAGGCACACTGAACGGGAAAGGTTCTCACAGATACAGCAGTGGAGAGACTCGTGATATGTCAACAGCGTTCTGCCAGTTTCTCAGGATCATCATATTGGGAAGTGAAGTCAGCCTGCCTCATTTTATTTTATTTATTTTTTGATATATAGGAGGAGATTGAAAAACAAATCCGGTTATAGATTGTTATCTTAAAAGCTTTAAGGCGGGATTCCTAACAGATACGCAAAAGAATCAGTATAAGTATCCTAAAATATCATGCTTTGATGAAAAGATTGCAGCATAAATAGAGGCATGATGTTGTTATGTTGCAGTTGATTGGATCAAGATGTTGATGTTCACCATGAGGACATAAAATCATAGAAAGAGGACGTTTAATAACTGAATCCCTGCCTTCTTATCCAATTAACCAACATGTTTTTGGACTGTGGGAGGAAGCTGGAGAACCCGGAGAGAACCCACACTGCACAGGGAGAACATGTAAACTCCACGCAGAAAGATCCCGGGTGTCCTCACCGGGACGCGAACCAACGACCTTTTCTGCTGCGAGGCAACAGTGCTAACCACCGAACCACCTTGCAGTCCCCGATAAGACTAGTGAACGAGAATCACTAATTAACAAGTTTTTAAGTTTCTTTAGGAGCTCATGTGCCTGTTTTCTCTTCTTCCCCACTGCTAATGTTATTTCAAAGGTCATCTCTTTTCCCCTTCTGTCAGAGTTGAACTGGATGTCAGATAAAAACAAAAATTACAATGCACAGTTCTTGGTCATTTAAACCTCACTGTGGCTTTGTATACACACAGTTTAATACCAGCACATTGATTCAGAACCGCCACTAGATGCATGCGTCATAATCTACTTGTATTTTGAAGTCACCAAAAGTTACACCCGTGCCACACTGCTAACCTCCACTGAGCATGAACTGCATGTGTGTGTGCCAGGCCTATCAACTCTAGTTCCCATGCAGTCTTCTGGCCAATCAAAATTCTCGATTCCGAAGGTCTTGCCAATGGAAAGTTTTTATTGACGCACAAAAAAGCTGCTGCTTGAATCCGTTATGCAACCATGTTGGGTTGAGAATTAAACTTAGAGAAGCCACAATAAAATAAAACAGATGACACATTTTTTTTTAGAAATTGTAACTGACGAAGGTCTAAGGACAAAAACATTGTTAAAACTTCTTTCACAATACTTTTTCTGCTTCAAAACTTGTGTAAAGGCAAAAAAAAAACATTTTACTTGTGGAAATATTTGACACATGTGGGATATCAAGTCTTTGAAGGTTTCAGTCGTCATAAGGTCTCTCCCACGGTAAGAAAGCAATATTGTTTCTTACGCAAAAAGCAGCAACAAAAGAATCACTTGGAGGCCTCCTCCTTTATTTTCCAGCGTTTGAAAGTGGTTTAAAGACAAAAAAAAACAAACAACACACAGGGAATTAAACCCTGCTATCGTTACAAAATTAGTCCAAGTGTGTCCCAGATAGAGTTGAGAGTAAAGAGACCATTTCTCCGTCCAGCAGTCAACCCAGAAAGCGTGCGGCCTCATGCCCGTCTCGCAGCGGTTGCACTCCTCATCCTTAATGCCCTGCTGAGAGCTGATTGGGATGCGGAGAGGTTTCTTTTCATTTGCACACCCAGATGAATGGTCATGTACGCAGAGGGTCAGCATGACCTGGATACCAATATTCATTTGCTGATTTAATTAAAGCTTTGCGTGTGTGTGTGTGTGTGTGCCTTTAGAGTGGGTGGCTGACGAGAGCGGTGTCATGTTTAGGTGAGTGAGAGTCACAGGGAGTGTGTTAGTTGGTATCATCAGTGAGGAAGAAGCCAGCTGTGGCCAATACCCGCTGAGTTTATGTTCCATTCATTAAAAGGACTTTCACTGCGGTTTATTTATACGCCTCTTAATATAAATGGACTGTTTGCAAAGCGAAAAACCAGCAGCAAGGTTGGTCAGCTGTCTTATTTAAACTAAAAAGAATTCATTATAGTTTCCAAACTTTTTTCTTTTTTGTTGATAAAGAGCTGAACCATATACACTGTGCTGTTTGTATTTTACTTTCAGCCGCTAGTGTGTCTTCATGTAAGAGTTTGTTTTAATGAGCCAACTCCTCAGTGCAAGAGACTGCAATCCTCACCAGGGCTGCATTCTAAGCCTTTTTGTTTTTGTGTGTTTTTTTTCTCTCTCAGGTTTCGGGTAACAAAGTGTGAAAAAGCAGCGAGGGATCGGAGGACTCTGCTAATAACAGACTCCAACGGGAGCGTCCCTTCAACGCCCACGGAGTTGGAGCCCAAGAGCCGAACGACGTCCGAGTCCCAACAGGTCAGTGCGCCGGGAATTTGATTTGTTTCTATCTTTTCGCTCCCGCTGGTCTCTTTCCCGCTGACACCCTGCGTACAAGCTGGTGTCGCTTATGTGTCCAAGCGTATTTGTGTGTGCATGAAGCTTGGTTGTCCTCTCTTAATGATGTTCTTGTTCGCAGCACTCGGTGAACATTTTGTATTTTTGTGCACCGGCTGGTGAGTTGTATTGATGATGGTACATCTCAGAAGCTAGAAAACTTTTTTGACTTGTTTTCAAAAATCCAAAAAATAAAATGTCAGAAAATAGTTAAAGTCACCCTTTACAGTTTCCTAAAGTCCCAGAAAACATCTTTAAAAGTTTTGCTTTCTTAAACCAGCTGTCAACACCAGATCTTTACATTTTAGATTGAAACAGACGAAGGTTTATATATTTGAAAGTGGCTTCCCATTAATGTGTCTTTGCAGCTTTAAGTCTAACTTTTGTTGTCGAGATTCGCAGGAAATGAGGCGTCGCTCAATAAGTATTCTAAACAAAGGTTAGCAGGATGCAATTAGCACGAGCTCCCTGCACCTTTCCAATAAAGCAAATGCTCACATGAATCATTTTAAACGTCTGTTTTCAGTCTGATCAAAGTTAAGCACAGAAATTAGCCTGCAACAGACATCTTACGAACTGCTGTCTCCATCTGGGGATACCTGCTGGCTGGCCTAATCGCCGGTATGTTCATCTTTGCAGGCCGATTTGTTAGAGGCTGATTGTCACAGCGGGGATAGATTTAGAAAGACGACAGGACGTACTGAAAGATTTTAGGAAACTGGTGGTTTTCCTGCACCCGCTGACAGAGCAGGAAAACTTTTGCTGCAACAAGTAGGACCTGTTGATAGCAGTCTCCATGTGTTCACTGAGGAGCTCAGCTGCGGCACTGCAATACATGAACCTGCAGGTTTAATACATATTCCCATCGTCGAGCTGGAGTTTTACCTCCCAGCTGGACTGAATGATTGGCTTTTATTAACTGTCTGAAGAGCTGACGTGTCGCTAAAAGGTAAAGTGTCCATTCCAGTTATATGATTACCTTCAATCACACAAGCTGCAGGGATCTCAAGATCATTTCCTCCCACTAAACTGAATTTCTTTGAGTCTTTAGAAGAGAGCCGTAGAGTGCAGCGATAGCACGACATTTAGCCACGCTAGTCACATTAATGGGGAATATGGCAGGTTGAAATGCACCACAAATCTCCTTTAAGCTTTCAAATATGCATTAAAAAAGCTGCGGATTCAGTTTTTGCTGTTAAACTAATTGATAATAGATCAGTTGTTTCAACTCTATACTGTATGCTGCAAAGGCTGCTGGGAAATGTGTCCTAAAATGCTTCTAACAGGGGTGACGGACTTAAACTACATCTACACAGACAGCAGAGGTCAGTGAACTCTATGAAACTCAGTTGCAGAAGCAATAGATGCTATAAATGACCAAATAGGTGCAGACATATAAGACACCTGGAAGTCATCAATCTGAAATAGCAATTACAAATTCTTTTTTTTTTTTCTTCAAATAGCTGCATGCATGGACATCATTCCATGTATTGAGGGCTTCCAATGAACATTTTCCATTAGTAGTAAGGGAAAAATATCAAAGTCTGCCAACTAAATCGTTACCAAACAATTTCTTCACCAATATGTTTGTAAAGGTGTGTAATAACATGCATTAAAATGTTGACGTTCAAGTCCCGTGGGAAACCCTGAAAAAAACCTGCTCAAGTTAGGGTACTGATAACCGATTGACAATAAATTGATTTTTGAAAAATTAAGTAACTTATGAGGTGTCAGATCAGATTTTTTTCATGATTGTGGATGGATGTTCTCAAACCAGAGACTCTACCTCTAACAGAGGGTGCAGCTGCCAGCATTCACTCTGCAGACCCAGGACTGGATCCTTCTACAGAGCAGGTCTATGAAGCCCAGTGACTATGGATGGACATTAGGTGTGCATGGGTATGAGCCAGGTCCAACACTAGACCCCACGGCTCCTGAGAAGCTACTGAAGTTCATGAGCTGTAATTGTCATAGAGATTGCAGCAACCGGCGGTGCAGCCTGCAAGAGGAATGGGGTCACGAGCATCTGGGCCTGTGGAGTCTGTAAATCATTACACGTAGAAACTGCGGTCATGATGTTGTTGAGTCTGAAGAAGACCTTCACAATGACTCTTGAAACTTCTGACATTGTGAATGGGAAATAACTGAGCTTTATGTAAGTATGTGAAGTAAAAACAACTGTAAATGTAAAAGTCAGTGTGGCCTTTTTCAACAAAGAAGTGTTTATGGTGAAATATAAATGCTAACAATCAACTCAGAATCATGAACAAACCCTGATTGGACACCTCATAAGTTACTTAAGGCCCGATTTTTCAATTTATCATTTATCGGTACCCTCATTGAGCAGGTTTTGTTCAGGGTTTCCCACAGGACTTGAACTTCAACATTTTAAGGCATGTTATTACACACCTTTACAAACATATTGGTGAAGAAATTGTTTGGTAACGATTTAGTTGGCAGATTTGTGAAAAATCTCATAAAATGCCCTTTCTATAGTAGCATTGTTGCTCCCTTCTGACAATTTTAGTCGCACCACTTAAATTGACATGCAACCATTTCTTCCCCCAATTTATAGAAGAAACTATTTGCATCGCTCATTTTATTTCGGGAAGTTGTATTTAATGCCCTTTAAATGCTCTTGACTAAAATGAGCATTACGTACGACCACATTTTTCATTTCAGATGCAGCATCTCTTCAGCAAATTGCACCCAGACACCAGCTTGATAGTTCAGAAAAGTGCGGACTCGGTGTCCTTACACATTGGAACATGCACATACACTCTTCACCCTTGTAAAAAAAAAAAAAAGAAAAAAGTAAAATGGCAGGTAATTAGAGAAAAACACCAACTTTTTTGCAAGTTGCCAAAGCTATGTGGCTACAAAGCTAAATGGTCACAGTCTGAAGCCCTCGTACGAGTTAAAGTTAATGTCATTGCAGCAAAATGAGTAAAGGGAGTGTTTAAAAATTCATGATAAAGGACTTCAGAAAAGCTGTAGCTTCCAGCACCGCTGTGATCTGTTTACATCACAGGAACTGAGCTTTGTGAAACCGCTTCAGGTGATCACGAGCAGCATCCACTCCCTCAGTGTAATTCATCGCTGACAAGTGCATGCAGAGAAATTGCATCCTCCTGTTGATGCTATCGAATGACACCGAAATTTCCTTCTAGGTAATGTCTTTTCAGATTTCTAACTTGTAGCAGACGGTGAAAAACATTTATAGAAAACATTGAAAGAAGGCCTCAATATTAGTCATAAGAGGTGCATGCTGGATATTTAATGCTCACGCACACAGTCGAGCTCGTGTTCTGTGACAGTTGTTTTCTGTGCAGAGTTCAGTTTTGTAACATTATGGAGGAAGATGGTTTCAATGGATACTTATGAGCATAAATAGGGGTATCCACCGTGTACTCAGGTGAACTTTTATGCACCAGCAGGGGTGTCGAACTCTGGTTCTCCAGGGCCGCTATCCTGCAAGTTTTACATGTTTCCCTCTTCCAACACACCTGATTCAAATGATCAGCTCATCATCAAGCTCTGCAGAAGCCTGATAATGATCCTGATCATGTGAATCAGGTGTGTTGGAAGAAGGACACATCTAAAACATGCTGGACCTCGAGGACCAGGATTGGACACCCCTGGTTTTCAGGATCAGTTCATGGTGGTAATGTCTCTATGTCTGTTAAGGAAAACACAAAATTCAGATACGAGTTGGCAGTTCAAAAATAAATTGGAATCTAATGCAGCAAGACTCTCCGCCATTCTGTATTACTGTCAAATATTTAACTCATGTAGATCACTTTTCTCATTACCCCTGGAGTCAGCACTCATGCTTTACTTTTTTGTCCACTTCTTTTTTTATCTCGTGTTTGGGGAAATCACCTCTTTAAAACTTTTCAGTTAATTTATCTGTGTTTGATTTGTCCGATTCCCTACGTTTATGTAACTGTGGAACACAGCAGTACCTTTGATCACACAGCTGGAGCCCACGGCCTCATGTCAGAAAATGGGCACCACGTGAATATAGTGGATAAAGACCCACTTGTTCCTTGAGCAACAAAACCATAGTTAAAAACGAAGGAATGTTTGCTAAAAATGACCAAACCGGGTTGGTTCTTTTTAACCTTTTTTTACATCTCAGACTGTGTGGGAGCATTTATTGGAGGAGAGTTGGTTTGAAGTGGTTTTGTGCTGGTTCCTGCTGAGGAACCAGTGACAGGTGTAAAGGTTTATAGAAGTGACTCCCTAAACTGGCCCTTTTAACCTTTCTGCATCACCAACTTTGACCAACTCTAAATATGCCAATACTGGAGGTAATTTGAATTTTATGATGACAAAGGAAATAAAAACAATGGAGGGTTTTTTATGTCGGTCTACGTGGCGTACGTACTTCATCTCACCTGTTCAAAGGTTCTGAAAGAGGTTTTGCCGGGGCAGCTTTTACCGTTCAGGATTCAGGCCGCCCTCAAAAGGCGTTGTCGCAAATTGCAAGTCATGGAAATGAATTCAAATTGCGCCAGTGCCAGTGTTGGCTTCCTGTGTGTTTGCCACTTCAGACAGAATTGTTTGTCCAAATCTGCAATGTTGTTGCTGCATTAAACAATCTCCAGGATTAAGCCGATGTTCTTACCCGGTTCCCGATAAGTCCCTCTATCACCTCCAACTTGTCCAGCAGCTAGACTTATTACAGGTTTTAACAGACGACATCACATCACATCTATCTTGGCTTCCCTTCACTGGCTCCCTGTCTGTTTTAGAAGTGATTTTAGTGATCACTTTAAAATCACGTCAAGGTCTCGCTCCGAACTACACTTATGATCTGTTGACCCCTTATGAGCCTGCTCGCAGTCTTAGATCCTCAGGTGGTTGTTCCTAAGTGGTGGCTTAAGCCTAAGGCGGACCGAGCTTTCTCCACCAGAGCCTCTTGACTTTGGAACGACCTGCCTTGAGGATACAGTAACTTGAACCATGGATTGTTTGCCTGTTGCCCCACAGTGACAGTATACAAACAATACTGGCATCCCGTACAATAGATTATTTTAATCATGTGATCATTTAATCTCTTAAAAACTCTTCCCCGTTGACTTTACTGAAACTTTCAAGCACTGAAATGTTTACTTGTCTTCTTTGTAAGAACTCATCCCGGCTTCTGTTACAGTTTGTGTTTGTAGTTACACTTTAAAAAAAAAAAAATCCCGAACAGATCCTGAAATTCGAGGTCGGCAATTTGAGAGATTAGAGTCTTTGCTTCAGGCTTTAGCACAAGCCTGTTTAGATCCACCAACCTTGACTGAATCAATGTCCTAAGCAAATTTGTTTTAGGGCGGAGAGACGTCGAACTCGTGTTTCTGAGACGATACAAATGCGGAAGAATCAATTTACACCTTCAGAATACATTAACATCCGTGTTTGTTTCGTTGCTCGCTGTTGGCGCTCGTGTTGACTTTTGGTTTTCTCATGCTGCCTGTGCGAGGAAGAAAAATGACAATCAACGGGCATGGCAGCGCGGAAGAGTGGTTTCTCATAATCTGATTGAATCAATGATTATTTTCTTTTATTAAAACCAGATTATTTGTCTTCCTTTCAGGAGCAGACAGACAACTTGGACAACGAGAAATGAGAGAACTCCAGGTAACATGTCGCGTTTTAATCAGCCGCATGAGTAGATCTGTTTTTTTTTTTTTTTTTTGTCTGACACCTTTTATTTCTTTCTGATTTTTTGCAGGTTTCCGAAGAGAGAAAAGAAGCAACACCTGGACACTTTTTAAAACCCAAAACGAGAACAATAAACGCAGCAGGAATATATAGATCCAGGAATCGTTGCTTCACACACAGAGCGAAACGTGCGGTGATTCGGACGCAACGGTGGTTATTATACAAGCAGAAAAGGGGGTAAGGTGTGTTGAAATACACTCCTCCCCTGTAACGGATTTACAGCAGTGCCTTGCTCGGTGGCGCCCTCTTGATGCCACGATGGGAGCTTCAACCAGGGCTTTCCATAAAGGTCTTATTACTCAACATGTAGATGCGGTCAGTGATGTATGTACATATGTTTTTATATGTGGAGGTATGAAAGGCACGTCATCGTTCGGTTAATTTATAAAAACTACACCTAAGGAACAGGTACAGCCGGTCTATGATGAAGTCGGGGGTTGTCATTTCATACAGGAAGGAGGAAGTTCCCGATATAGCGCTCGCACCGCCAGGAAGTAGACCGGAACATTAGCAGATGTGACAAAAGCTATCATGTCCTGTAACGGCGTGATCGTGATGTGAAAGTGTGCCTCGTGTTGTCGGGATGATTCATCGTCCTCCAAGTGCATGTTTTCTGCTTTTTTATTTTTTCATGTTTCTTAGTGTTCTTTCAGTCTGTCCTCTAATAAAGAACTCGCAGCGTTCTGGGTCGAACAACAAATCAGCGCTAAAATTCAGACGCAGGCTGCTCTTGGAATGTTTTCTATTAAAGTGACAATACATGTTTTAGTTGGCTTTTTTTTGTTTTTTTTTTGTCAAAGTGGGAACAGCACGACAAGCTCTAAACACGATATCGACGTATTATTGTGAGCAGAAAATGTTCTTTTTACGCATTCAGCAGAAAAGGCTCAACAATAGCTTTCATTTGCCGCCATGTCTTTGACTATCTGATCAACCGAGGCCAGTATTCGCGCTCCTTTTAGCTCCGTTTTGGTCTCCACCAACTCCTGAGGCTAGGGCTAGCTCTTTACCTAAGATTTTCACTGTTTTTCATCATTCTGTTGTCGAAAAAAGCTGCCTGTTGTGTCCAATATTACACCATGAGAGTGAAAAGAGTGAACCAAAAATGAAAACATTAAAATTGCGGGCGCTAACAGTTAGCTGAAAGATGCTAAAATGTACCGAAGAGATGAGGAGAAATGGCAAATTAGAAAGTCACGTGACACATTATCGGTATGCAAATATTGATTCGTTTAGCTTTAATTTGTGCTGTTGGCTGGAATTATAGATCTTTGTACTAAAAATGCAATTTATAGAAGCATTTTAATGTATTCTATTAGATGTAGGGCATCTAAAAGACATTTAGAAAAGGAAAACAACATCCTCTTCTTTTTTTACTTGTAGATTTTACACGAGGCTCGTTGCAGTACGTGAACGTTCGTCTGCTGAAGCCACATGAAGCTACCGCCTATTTTAATTAATGACAGATTTATCGTATTTTTAGCGCGAGCTGCCTTTCTATTCATCATCATTGTGCAGCATTGTCAGGAGCAGATACTGTACAAATGATTTAATCCATTATGGATTTATGTTATCTATCAGCTGGTCCACGAGGACATAAGCCTTATTATGTTTCTAATGAGTCGTGCCTTTGTGGGCAGATGGGAGGCACGACTAACTACAAAGTGTTTACAGTGGAAAGAATCATTCACTGCTGCATGCACGGCACTGAGTGGTTCGGATACGGATCTATATGTTACCTCCAGAAATATGTGTGTGGCAAGTGCTCACGTTACTTGGATTCTTGTATTTCTACCATTTAAGGGAGGCTAAATTCCACTATTTTTGTGGCCATTTTGTTGCTAAGATTCCAGTAAATGGGCCAAAAGCTGGTCTTCAGTTTGACATGAACCATCGATTAAAGCTTTATTTCTCTGACCAAAATTAAAAACTTAATAGATGCATTGTGAGTAAGCTGTTATTTGTTTTTTCTACATCAGAGGAGACGATTTTAAAATTAACGCGACCCCAAAGGCAACGTCGGAGAAGTTATGAGAAGAAGATCCAGGATTTAACTTTAAAAGACTAAACATCAGAGAGTTTCTGTGATGTGAAGATGAGAAGTTAAACTACTGAAGGTTAGCGAAACCAAGAATTGCGTTCGGTTACTTTTTAAGCCCTATTCACACAGGACTAGTACGACCTCGGGGCCTCCAGTAGTTTGGAATAATTGCGAAGGGTTGTCTGTGATCTTAATCAGCGCTAATATGCAAAGTCAAAATTCCACCACAGATGACTTAGCATGTTTTGCGAAGCCTAGAGGTCACACGGTGCTAATAATCCTGGCGTCTTTTTTCTTGTTTTTTCCACACCTGCCTTCTGCTTTTTTTTCTCTGCTTAGATAATTACGGCGGCTTATTCGTACCAATCGGACATCGTTCCGGCTCCAGGAGGCATCGCAGCACGGGGACTAATTTACAAAACGCTCAAATCCATCCAATAGTTATTATGTGGCAGCCTGTTAATATCACATCCTCAGATAATGTTAGTAAATTAGACTAAAACACAGGCTGTCCCGCGCGAGTGAAACCCCAGACGTGGGCGGGTAATTTGTAAATTGCAAAGCTCCCCGGATAATACTAGTCCCATGCGAGTGAGTAGGGCTTTTGTAATTCCAGTTTTTTCAAAAGTTTTGATCCAAAATGACAAATTAATAAGTGAAAGCTTTCCCAGCAACTCTTTCTACAGCTTTCAAATCAGGTTTTTTGTGCTTTTTGACACCAGAGAAAATCAAATTTAGCAAAACGAGAGCAGAATTCTGCAGTGTTTTGTGTCTCTTTGCAGAGAAAGACAAAGGGAGAGCAAGTTTAAACCCGTTTTCTGATTAATAGTCACGGTTTTACCTGTAAAGATACTGTGTGTGGCGAGAAAAACAACCCTGATGATGAGGAACCAGATTTTATGGAAGCTCGATGCCCTTTGTATAGAGCCTTGTGTTTTGTTTTTTGCATCATTTGGATTAAAACGTATCATTTTGGGGGTTTTTTGTTTCACTTTGGCATTTGTGAGGTCATTTTATCGCCCACATGTAGCAGGGTTTTTTGTAAAACCAAATATCCTGCCCCCTCCGTCTAGAAAAAAACTTACAGACACACCATCTCGTTTTTAGAAACAAATATTCATCCACACCTAACCACACCTTTTAAGCACATTCATATTCTACGTGAGGATGTAA